AGAAGTAAATAAAGCAAAGAAAGAAAAAGAAAAATTCAGAAAAGCGATCGTTGAAATGATTTTGTATGTTAAAAATTTTTTTTTTTATTCTTAGGGTTGGCGAGTCGAAGGTAGAAAATCAAACACATGAAGATAAAATTCCAGAACCCGATTATGCCACTGGTATAGGCTCAAAAGAAAAAGATATTCTAGTATACTTTTTAATAATTATATTTGCAGCGATATTATTACTATATATACAATGGCATAGACACGGATCATGTCGCTCCAATGGAGGAAGCATGGATGGAGAATATGAAGCAAATGATAAGACCCAATATCAAGGTGAGTTAATTAATATCCATTAAAATGGGCTAGGAATCAGCAAGCGCTAAACTTCTTGAGCTTCTTGAAGATGAAATACGTGAAGATTATCTCTTTAGCGTGAAGAAAGCGATCGTAGACTTTGTTCTGAAGGAACCAGTGGACAAACAAATAAAATATTTTGAGAATAGCGATGAAGAAGAGTCATCTGTTTATGAACACAGAAAAGAGCTAGAAATTGTTCCAAAGCCATGGCATAGCTCTTTTATTGCTGCATCTCGATTTTGTCGGAAAAATCTTTTTGTAACGAATCCATGTATGATGCAGGTTCTAGATCTATGGCATGCTTCCTTTTCGTAAGCAAATATAATATTTTTTCCTTGCTGGATATATTTTGGTGCATTTCACAGCGTACTATTTTTATGCAATCCTTGTAAATAAAATTTGATTACCTAATTTGGCATTTATGTATTTATAGTTCTCTGCGACTTATTGACTGTGACGAATTTTATACGAAAACTTGTTCCTTAGAGTTGGCGACATTTCAACATACTTGCATTAAGCATATCGAAGCTGCTAAAGAAAAATTAACCAAGAAGTAAGTAATATCGAATTTTATGAGAATATGCCCTTGAATTTAATGCTAAAAATACTTTATATAATTAGTTCAAATACCAAATAAACACTTTAAATTTGTGACATTAAAAAAATTCAGTAAA